GGCCCACGGGCAGTGCCCGAGTTTCCAAATGGTCAGTCCGCCCCTGACTACGAGTCAACTTAAAAGGGATCTTTGGGCAAACTACAAAGTACAAAAGCATTATTAACACTTCCCAAACAGATTTAGTCACAAAGTTTTATTTTCTTTTTGTGTCGTCTTGTGGGACCCTAGTGAGTAAATATGCAAATTCGGTGCACCAGTCTTCTGGCACTTGGTTGCCATGTGTGTTGATAGCGTGGGAAAAGGATCAGAATTTTTTTCTGTTTTTTTTTTTACTGGCATCTGTGTCCCCATTAAAGAGATTTGCCTTCACTTCCTAGCACAGTGACAATGGGGTTAGTAAGACAGGAAATTATGGAAAGCCTGTACAATGGACAACACATTTTCTAGCAGTGGGGGAAAAGCTTTGAAGCTCTATATGGTTTTAACTGCTGTCTGTAATTTCCTGTCCCTGTAGCCCTTTGCCTCTCCACTTTCCCTCTTTTCTTATTCTGATGTCACAGGGACACAAAGTAAGGGGTCAATCTCAGAAACTGAGTCACAGGCGGCAATAAAAACCTGCCAGGGGTTCTAACTCTTCCCCACTCTTTAAAAAAAAACATGTGGCTACAGTTGCATTTTAAATTAGAACACCTACAAGTAAAGTCACAGGTCATGAAGGATGACACAGAGCACACAATCAACCCAACCAAAAGGAGAAGATTAAATGACATAACCTTTTCTGTCCTCTGGTTCCCACAGCGTTGTGGGATCTGAGTTGTCTCCTAATATAATGTGCTGAGGGAGAACGCAAGCTGCGTTCAAAGGGAAGGTTTGAATGGTCTCCAGCTGTAGAAGCAGTAAGGAACATGGGCAACTTCGGAGAAATCTTCAATAGGTGAGTTGCGTTAAGTCTACTTACCATCTTCAGTGATTGTGGGTTACTGTTATGTTCTCTTGGACAGTAGAAGCATTCTACGACTGCAGAGTCTCTTATGGCAGAAACCTATTATCATCAATACAAGTGAATGAGAGAAATGTTGCGTAACTAGCTGTTCAACACTTCCCCAATCACCCAAGAAGCTTGAGACGACTCTGACCTCAACTCTGACCGTAGGGTGCAACAAGTTCCAGCATTATCTGTCAGCCTAAGGTAGACAAGTATTCGACAGTATTTATAGATTAATATTATGGGCTTATGATATGTAAAGGTCTGCACCTACACCCTGTTTTGATAAATATTCAACACAGGGAAACCCACTATATCTTAAGCCATCACCTCAATAAGCAAAAGTCCTGGTGCCCAATCTGCGGCCCAAGGGCCACATGCGGCCCTTTGTTTATTGCAGTGTGGCCCTCAGAACACAGCAGTCAGACTTTGGTTTGTAAGGGGGCTGTGATCACAGCCGTTTCCCCAATCACCAACTGTCTACTACAGCATGACTAGTCTCCAACCATTTGGTTAGCAAAGCCTCTGAACATCTCACCTAGCAAGTCTTCAGTCTTTGACAGTCTTTTGTAGCGTTACATACACAGTAATAAATATTATATGCAGCCCTGGTGTTATCAGGGGCCGCATACCTTGTATACCACCGGCTTAGAGCAACCTATCTCAGCAGAGGAACCCTTAAAATAATTTTCAGGTCTTGGGGAACCCTTGCTAAAATTAATTCATTGGTGGTCAGAGGCAAAAAATGCACCTTACATAGATGGTCAGTTGGTCATAAAGCAACCCTTACAGACAGTTAATAAGATGAATGGTGTCATGTCTCTGGCTCTGCCAAAAGATGATGCATCCAGAAAGAAGGAAGACCCTTGCAACTTTTGGAGAAACCCTAAGCCCTGGTTCACACTGGATGCGACTTGGCATGCGACTTGCAAATTGCATGCCAAGTCGCACCCTATTGTCTGCAGTTGGAGCGGTCATATAATTGTGATTCTGACTTGGTCGGAGCCGCATCGATTTCAAAAGTCGTACATGCACTACTTTTGGTACGATTTGCATAGATATCTGTATCAGATGTCTTGCAAATCGCACCTGAAATCAGCAAGTCCCCCAACTTTGAAATTGTGCAACTTCACTGTAAGTCGCACGATTTCAAAGTCGGGCTTGATGTGAACAGAGGGTAAATGAGAATGACTGGGCTAAAGTTACACAGAAGATTTCAGTAACTCAGTCGTGCTGCTGAAATTACTAGGAGTAGAAACTGGTTACTAAACAGAAGGAATAATTGGCTCCTTATCGAGTATCTGTCCATTTTACAGCTGGGATATGCAGAGATATGCTCTGTATTGTTCAGGCTTGTGGTAAAAAATAATTGGCATGACATAGCCCACCTCCCCATATCTCAGTCGAAGCCGGAGCTCCGGTAAGCCCTCATTTTGATAACGCTGGCAACGTTAGCTGCATAAACGCACATTAAAAACGTGAGTTTTTCAGCTTTTTTTTTTAGTGTTTTTGCATTGGGTTCAGCAGTGTTTTTGTTTTGCCGCGTTTAGCGGCATTTTTCCACATTTGCATGTTTTTTTTCATCAAAAATAATTTTTTTTGGTCAAAAAAAGTCCATAATCGCTGGTTTGCGGTGTTTTTCAGCGTTAAAGCGTTTTTACAGCTAAAAAAAACACTAGTCCTGGGTTTTTTTTTCAGTCAAAAAACATTGATTACAGTCTATGTGTGCATGGACACATAGGAGAACATGCTGGAGGGTTTATCGGCTGTAGAAAAAAAAATGTCAAAAGCCAAAAACAGCCGCTGTAAAAACGTCCAGTGTGCATGAGGGCAAAATGAGGAGATGCAGAGCAAGGAACACAGGACAGGGAGACAAATATAGGTCAAACCATCTTTTTTTTTGTTTTGGCACAGAAAAAAAAAAAGATATAAAACATGACTTACCAAATTGCTCTAAATAATTTATTTTATGGCCTCCATCACTGACACCACCGCACTTAACTCTTTAACGTACAGATTCTCAGAACAAAGCTTTAGTCCTTACCTTGCGATATTAAACCATAGTCACTCTTACAATGACATTAAATGCTCTTGCGGCTTTTCATTTCAGAATAAGCAAAACTTTATTTTGTGTGTTTACTAAAGTAAATACTTTAGATGTGCTTTCAGTTACAGAAAGTGAAGTAGGGTGCGATATGACTGCATGTTCTAACGCTAAGGAAAGAGTCACAGTGCGATCGTTGGAGCGTGGGACTGTCCCGTAAACCACATCCTGCAATAACACAGCGACTTGGAACAGGTCCCTCCTAGATCTCGGTGGCATGCTGACACAGACGGCACCTGTTATACTGTGACGTACGTAGCGCAGGGCTTTCGCTGTACACTGCCATACAGAGAGGTAAACAGGATGTATTGCCTCCACTGCAGGATTTGTGTTGCTATCAAAGCCGAACTTCAGCCTTGAACTTTTGTACTGGCTCCTCTCATGTACTCAATTTGCTTACTCTGATTTCACTGCACACTGCAATCTCACAATGTGAATTAAAAACTGCAGAAAGATACCGTAGAGCCCGCTTATTTCCTGACTTGAGGATGTTCAGTATCATCTAGCTCTTTTCTCCCCAGCTTGATTGTCCCTGGCCCATCCCTTGCATTCACTGGATGTCATTTCTTTCAGTCATGGGGGCTCAGCATCAAGGTGGTCTGCATGCAGAAAAGCTATTAGGTTCCATTCACACCAGAATGCAGTTCAAGAAACCAGCATTGTATGAGTGTTTTCTGCATCATGTTCAAAACACACTGCAGCTGCGATTTGCTGCTGGTGCAAATGTTAACGTCACTTTAAACATAGGCCACAAATGCAGTGCATTTGTCTAGAATGGTACAGACGTTCCATGCGATCCGGTTACAGTGAGATTCCAAAAGTAGTACAAGCAAATCGCTCAAATCGCACTGCAGTGAACTGTATGTGAATCACACAGCAACAAGATCGTCGGTGTGAACCAGCCCATGGCCCCTTTCACACGGGACAGAATCTGCCTGCAATCCGCTTGCTTAACAGGGGATCTGTCTGCTGATCCTCGCTGAGCAGGCGGATCACAGGTCCATGTCCGCACCGCTTGTGCAGAGTGGGCACAAACACAGCCTGCTTTCCTCCATGGGTGGTCGGATGTAAATGGTCCACCTATCCGTTTACAGCCTACTGCCATTCTATCCAAGCCGCTGGACAGAAGGGGAACGGATCCACATCTGTCTGTTTTTGGCGGATTGGATTGGATGTATATGGGTGTAAATTGACACACCCTGTGCTCCACAGAAGATTATGGAAATTCCAGTTGGGTCCTCCTGAAAAGCAGAACGGATGGGAATGTTCATGTGAAACAGGCCTTAAAGTAACATACCGGTCTAACAGCTTTTCCAAAAAGGACACAAAAAGCATGAAATGGTAACATAAAAAATTGTTGATAGTCTTTTGATTGGCTGAGCCTCCTCTTTAGCAGAGATCATGCGTCCAAATGCCTAGGCTTCTAGACATGTGGTGAACAAAGAAAGGAACTTGGATTTGTATATTCTCCATGAAAGGTAAGTAGATCAGTCTTTCTATTACTTTATCCATCCTATAGCTTGCTCACGTTTGAGCATAAATCTGCTTTAGGTAACTTCCTGATCACTCCAGTAGCAACCCAAGCCCAGGAACTCTCAGTAATGGTAGCTTCAGCAGCAGATGAGCTTTGACATACAAATTAAACTGAACTTTCCCATTCCCCAGACATATGCAGAAATCTTAGTGGTACATTTGTAATCTGCTCTATCTGCTGTTTGATAAAAGCAGCTACAAAAACTGTAGCTGCTGACTTTTAACCACCTCCCGCCCGCCCGCCATATAGTAATATGACAGACGCAAGGTGGTTCTCTCGTTCTGGGATGACGTCATATGACGTCCTCCCATTCTAACCGCGAATGCGCGCCTCCCAGAGCGCGCAGTGTGGCGATCGGTGGTGTGCTGTGTCCCTCGGACACAGCGGATCACCGATCCACGGAAAGAGCCGAAGATTTCGGCTCGGTCATGTGATCAGCTGTGTCCAATCACAGCTGATCACATAAAACAGGGAAATGCCGGTTGTCGGCATTTCTCTCCCCATGAGCTGTCACGCTGACAGCTCGTGAGGAGAGGAGAGCCAGTAATCGGCATTCCTCGGAGGGGACATGTACACTGATCATCAGAGCACTGATGATCAGTGTGCCGTGATGATCTGTGTAGCCCCAGCAGCGCCACCTGTCAGTGTCCATCAGTGCCAGCTCTCAGTGCTCATCCATGCCACCTGCCAGTGCCCATCAGTGCCACATCAGTGCCCATCAGTGCCACATCAGTGCCCATCAGTGCCACATCAATCCCATATATCAGTGCCCATCTGAGCTGCCTTTCAGTATCACCCATCAGTGCCAGTCAGTGCCACCTATCAATGCCAGTCAGTGCCACCTATCAGTGCTGCCAATCAGTGCTGCCTATCAGTGCCAGTCAGTGCCGCCTATGAGTGTGCATCAGTGCCGCCTATCAGTGCTGCCTATCAGTGCCAGTCAGTGCCGCCTATGAGTGTGCATCAGTGCCGCCTATCAGTGCTGCCTATCAGTGCTGCCTAACAGTGCCAGTCAGTGGCGCCTATCAGTGCCATATATGAGTGCTGCCTTTCAGTGCCCATCAGTGATGCCTGTCAATGCCCACCAGTGCCACCTACCAGTGCCTCCTCATCAGTGCCACCTATCAGTGTCCATCAGTGCAGCCTATCAGTGCCCATCACTGCAGCCTCATTGCCAATGCAGCCTGTGACAGCTCTATCTGTCACAAAATAATTATAAAAATTTCATATGGGTACAGTGTTGCATGACCGCGCAATTGTCATTCAAAGTGCAACAGCGCTGAAAGCTGGAAATTGGCCTGGGCAGGAAGGGGGTATAAGTGCCCTGTAGGCTAGTGGTTAAAATACAGTCACTTACCTATCCCTCAGTCCGGCGGTGTCTTCACCACCGCTGATTTCACCGGCCGTCTTCTCTCCCTGGCACCGGCATCTTCAGTTTGGGCACCCGGCTGTGACAGCTGGGTGCCCACTGCGCATGCGCGAGAAGCGCTGTGTTTTGTGAATGTCCCCGTAGTCTTCTGGGACCTGTCATGTGTCCCAGAAGACTACAGGGAGGGAGGGGGGGGACAACTTCCGCTTCTGATCGCCTAGGCGATCGCAGCAGAAGTGGGAGTGGGTACCTGTCAAATTCGGGTACCTGCTCCCCAAAGGTGTCAACCCTTAATGGGGAGAGGGGGGACAAAGGCTTAAAGTGGAACTTCCCCTTTTGGGTAGAGCTCCACTTTAAGCTGGCCATGCATTATACAATTTTCCTTCAGATTTACCAAAGCCATATAATATGAGGTAAAACCTAAACACTTTCAATTTGTATGCAGTCAGGCAGGCCCTTGCATTACATAGTTGAAGGTAAATCTAAAGTAAATTGAAAAAGAAAATTGTATAATGCATCGCCAGCCTAAGCAGCATTGTTACTGATATTCAAATATTGAATTATTGTTAAAAGTCAACAAATCGTCATCTCCATTTTAAACTTCTGCCTCTGGACAGTGCTACCCGACTTCTGCCCTACAGAAGCATGGCTGTCACAGGAAGGGCAGCATTGGCCTAGACACATGTGATTACTAACTTTGCTTGACTTTTTCTATGTTGTGTGAGAGTCAAGATAGTATTGACCAATCAGGTGAATAACTGGTTCTCAGTGGAAAGAGGTTTTGGTTACTGTTAGATGATACTTCAAATTTGGCAATGTTTTTCAGAAACACTGGAAAAAGAAAGGCTTGCTTTAAAGAAGGACATCAGCCAAAAATAACAAGATAAAATGTATTAACCCATTAAAGGATAAAACAAAAAAACAATTTTGCTGCAATATTCACCTTTGATTCAGAGATATCCCCCGCAGTTCATTTTTTTTTTTCGGCCACTATGCCCACTTCCTCTGAGCCCTGGTCATCCATTCCTATGTATACTCATGTGCTCTGTTCTGTGGGCCTAGAGTTGGAATATGACAAATAATTTGATATTTTCTTTTTTTGGCACAATTACAGGGATTCTGTAATATTAAAGCATAATATAACAGATAACAGATACCGCTCTGGAATTGTGTCTGGTTCCTCCTCTTGATACACAGCACTTAGGATGGGTATGTGTTTCTGCCTATGTTCCATAATACTAGCTGCTTCCAATAGCTTGCCATTGGCAACAGAGGACAATACTGACTGTGTGTCTTATCTTGTCTTAGATATTATCAATAAAAACATTGTGAAAGAAAGCCGCACAGTGATACCTCTTTGTCACCCTGCTTTCTCTCCCTATCAGCAGGCACCTTTCATTCCTATCATTGGCTCCTTGTGCTTCTCCTTCCTCTCATACTCCAGCCCTGCTGTACAGGGACTGCAATGGGCTGATAACAGGTCAAGTTCGGGTACTTACACTACTTGTGTTTAAAAATAATGAATGCAATGATGTATTAATCATTACCAATCTGCATTAATTTGTGTCTTTTATGTCCAAGTAGAGTTTAGTTTTAAAGTGTTACTAAACCCACAAAAGTAAAATCAGTCTGTATATGCAGTAAAGCATGCTTGTTATACTCACTGTGGAACCTACGGGGTTAATCCTCCGCATTGTGTAAAAAGGCTGTTTGATAATTTTTTCCTTGCCCCTCTTGTTGAAATGACCACCTGATACAGACTGAACCCTTGGTCACATGCACATGCTCAGTTTAGTTTGTATTGATAGAGAGGTTTTTTTTTTTTCTTGGGAAGGTGCTTGTGATCAGCACAGGGCCAATCAGCACTGTCCAGACAGAGGGTCAAAGGTTTCACATCCTCCTAGAGCAGAAAGAAAACTCCCCCTGCAAGCTTTTACCAGTGCTCTGCTGCAGTCACAAGACTGCTCTAACTGCTGATGAGAAAATGTATTTAGCGGTTTATATTTACTAAAATAATTGCATTTCCATGTTCTGTGTACTGAGGGAGACCAGATATAGTGAATGCAGGGTCCTGGGTTTAGTATCACTTTAAGGTTTTTTTCTGTATATTTTTTTAATTATATTTTAAAAAGTTAAGAATTAAAGTAAAATAAAATTCAAAGTGTAGCTAGATGGAAATCAAGTATGCAAACAATGCTACCAATATCTCCAATTACAGAAACTAGAGCAATAGTAATCATATGCAAGATAAAGAGATGGATTGGGGAAACCCCTGTTTGTTGTAGATGCATTTATATAGATATTACAGATAAAGAAGGTGTGACGAGCACATTGGGGCGAGTTTAAGCTTTTTGAGAAGAAACAGCAAGGAGATATGGGGGGGGGAATGATAGGGTAGAGGAAAAAGAAAGAGGGTCTAATAAGGAGAAGCATGGACAAGAGTGAAGCATAGGTAGACGGAATGTGATGGGAAGGTACCTAAATAGGAAGATAAGGGGAGAGTAGGAGAGATAAAGGGGTTTGGAGAGATGGAGAGGGAACCTCCGTCAGAACCCACCAGAACTAAAGCCACTGAGTTTTATTTATTAGGATTTTAAAGCCTCTATTTGAATATTAGTTTGCCCTCCTCTGAGGGACCAAGAAGTGTACAGGAAAAGACTGTCAAGAAAAGTCTGTGCCAAACTTTGCAGTGCCTGTCTTTGGCCAGTTATGATACAATGATATGGTTAATTCTATCGTTTTATTCTAGGTACACCATGCCACATTACTGTATACAGTTCTCCAATTCAATTTAATTAGCCCAGTGTTCAGGGAACACCCAATACTGATCTCAAGATTCTACAGTCTACAAATTTCTAACTCCACTGATCTCTGATCCCATTCCAACACACAAATATCTACTGGAAGCACTGAGTGCAAAGATGTGTCAATTTAAACCTGGTTCACATATCTGCGTTCCTGCGGTCTGCGTTTTGCATGGGCACAAGAGCCCATTCATTTGAATGGACTCCTGTGCCCCGAAACATGCAGGGAAGAAGTCCCTGCACTTCTTCGGAAAACACAGCCCGCACAGGAACCTCAGTTCCCAGTACGGTTGTGATTTCGAGTGCGGGCGGCGTGCCATTAGAATTAATGGCACCCGCCCGCGGGTCCGCATTCCTCTGTGTGGGTGGTGCGGCTGCAAGGATTTTTGTGCGGATCCACAGCGGCACCACCCGCACCTATGTGAACCTAGCCTTAAGGTAGTTTGCTTGCCTGCTACTGATTAGTAAGAGGCTAAGGGGGAAATATTACTAAAACTGCAGCACTCAGAATCTGGTGCAGCTGTGCATGGAAACCAATCAGTTTCTAACTTCAGCCTGTTAAATTAAGCTTTGACAATAAAACCCAGAAGCTGATTGGTTTCTATGAAGAGCTGCACCAGATTTTGCACCATGCAGTTTTAGTAAATAACCCCCTAAGTGTTAGTTTATAGATATGTCAAGAAGTGGCGCTTGGAAAGGTTTTTAGCTTCTGTCAAGCAAACCCCAGCAAACAGGCCTGATAGGGTATACTGAGCGCCTCTTCATGTTGCACCAACCCAAACATAGCTAACTGCTGCTGATCTTGTTGGCACACCAATAATCTATCAGTAGGTTCTAGTTAGACGTATTACAGATCTGCCTGGCCACTAGCCCCTTTGAGTCCACAGATATCATTATTTTGTCATTTAAGTTCTGATAAAGAGGGACTTTTTTGGCCGTATTACATTGAATTTTACAGAAAATTACAGCGCTGCAGACTGAAAAGGAAATGTAATTTGTAATAACACTCAATTTCAATATGGCTTGCGTAACAATTATAAAAGCTATATATTTTTTTTTGCTATTTTTTCCCCACAAAAGTGGAGCTACCCCTTAAGAAATCACAGCTGAAAGCTGATTGTTTGCTATGTGCAGCATATTTATTTCCTCTAAAATGTACTGTGTGAGTTCCAGAGCTCTAAGGGCTGCTTTACATCATGTATATTATGGGTTTCACATATTTTGATTTTAGTGGTCGTTTAAACATCTCTATATATAACTTCCTGTACGGGAGACAAGAATCCCACCACAGAAACCAGAATTTCACCACATGAATCACAATCTGTCAACTTTGACAGTCTACACAAAGCCTAACTGAAAAGGAGAGGCTTCAGCTACAAAGTAAGAACTATTGTGACACTGTTTGGTTTATTCAATGATGAATGTTATTATTCATGAAGAAAGACTGCATTGACCTATAACAACTAATGAAGGCCATGATTCTCTGATCTGACCAGTAACTGAAATCTGATTGGATGATATAGGTGGATGTCTTTGTGCTTTGACAGTATGCTGGCTTTGCAGCTTGAGCTGTTGATCTGTGCCTCTGACTCAGAAAGAAGTAGCCCCTAGCTGGAACCAGCAATGAGTAAGGCTCCATGCCTATGGTCATATACTATTCACGCAGCGTGTTGCTGGCAGCTGGATTCTGTGTACAAAATGGTCTGTACCGTATTTCAATTCATCCAGACATATATACACTTATGTATGAATCAAAACATTCTGCACACTCTACTACATTCTTCATGTGTCACCAGGGCCTGCACACTGTTGATATTTGCATCGCACCCCGAGTCATTTACGTAGCAAAGCTGCAGAATGACCCCAGTCTAGAATGGCTGAAAAATGATGTAATTCTGCATCTGTGCCACCATCCCATGAATGATTTGAGATGTGTGCATCAACAATTTGTAGGCAGCACATGAATAAATGACCCTGGCCTTCATTCAGAACAAATGAAGGCCAAGGTCATTCGGTGCCTGTGCTGCCACTGCTGTCTACACATTGTTTTTTCACATTTTGACCCCAGCAGTGGGGGCCGGCATGTATGGTCCATTTACGCAGTATACATATAAACACTGAAGAGCTTACTAGCTGGCAAAAGAAATACTGTATCCTGTGACCTCTAATAGCTCCTTGAAACCTAAAGTGGTTGTAAAGCCTGAAGGTTTTTTACCTTCATGCATTTTCTCCCCCCTCAGCCCACCTAAAATTTACCTGAGCTCGATCCAGTGATGTTCACAAGAGCGGCTTCTGTCCTGGCTCTTTGCTTCCTCATTGGCTCAGGGACAGCAGCGGGAGCCATTGGCTTCCACTGCTGTCAATTACAGCCTGTGAGGAGGGAGCAGAGGCGGGGCCGAACCCCTTTCTGTGTATTTTATGGACGCACAGTGTTGAGCTCGGGAAAGAGCATGCACTAGCGCCCCCATAGCAAGCGGATTTCTACATGGGCACTCAGCAGGGGGAAGGAGCCCAGAGTGCTGGTGGGGGATCTGAAAAGAGGAGGATCGGGACTGCTCTGTGTAAAACCCTTTCATAGAGCAGGTTTGCATAACATGTTTTTTTTTTTAAATTCAAACCTTTAGTATCACTTTAACTGTACCTGAGCACCACAAACTGTGCTGTTGCATTCATTTTTAATTATCAAAGCAAATTCACCCATCCCTCCATTTCTCCATGCCTTATGTTTTTGACAAACCACTTTGAAAAACAAATCCCTAGTATCTCTAGCCATGATTGATGTGGTTGATGTGTTTCTACATGATTCATATGGGTTTTACTTCCTGGAATTCATCTTCCCTTAGCTCAGGCAAGAAAGCAGGAAAGTGTGCTTAGCTGAGAATGCCCCTCCTCCCCTCCTTCAGATAAAAGAAAAAAATGCCCATGAAGACCTCTGGGATGTATGACATCATGTTGACCTAGGCCAGAAACCAGGAAGCACCTGAAGAAATGTAAAAAAAAAGTTTAAAACAAGTAAATATAATATACCTTCCAATCTATTTAAAAATGCTAGCAGCATAAGGATTACAAATCGTTATTGATGATTGAGAGAGTTTAGTTCCACTTTAATAGGGATACAGTATATGGAGAACTCATGGACCAGTGACAAAAGTAGCTTGGCTTTTATCAAACTTCTCAGACTGTCATTGCCTTATAGGAGGTGGGGGAAGATAACCCTGTTATAGTCCTGGACAGCAGTGAAGACCCAGCAGGGTATTTAATCCCACCCCAGCCTACCTATGATGTATTTTATGTAAGTTGATAGATGTACCCAACTGTTACTATTACTGTAAACCCAACCCGCCAATATGTTCAGTAATTACAAACCAGTCAATTAAGTATACAGTATGCAGTTAATCTCAATAATTTCATTACGCACTTCGAGCATCGAAACAGCCGCTTGTCATATTAACCGCAAGACAGCCGCTGGATTTGTAAACAAGGCTATATTGCTCTAAACCTGTCCTTCTGCTGTATTGCCTGAGTGGGCGAATCAATGAAAGGCTGACATATTCGATCTGCTTATACAATTTTTACTGTTCTAATTTATGGAGATTGCTAGTTAAGCTGCTGGATGTCCGTATTGAAAGAGAAACCCTTTGTGGTTCCCAAATATGAGCAGCTGCCTGAACTTCCACAAAACAAATCACAGTTAATGATTAAGAGGGCGAAGGGGATGTGATATTATTTTTTATTTATTAGCATGCGATGTGAGCTGAATGTTGGTAAATAGCACAGCAGGAGGTTACAGATGAAGCAGAAAGCCCCATCCAGAGCTGTGAAGACCATTTGTTAATCACTAAGTTAATCCAAAACAACAGCATTCACACTGATATGTGAAAATTTAGGCAAGCCACATTTCTGGGCATAATTTAGATATAATTGCTTAACCATTAGCCGCCCGGCCAATGGCCGTTTGGCGGCTTCAAATGTGTCCCTGCATTCCGGGTGCACGCCATTTGGCGTGCACATGCGCCGTTTGCGCTAATGCAGAGCGGCGCAGCAGTGCGATCTGTCACCGGCCGTGCACCACGGACACGGCCGATGACAGATCCGAGTACCGGCTCCCGTTGCTGGTACCATGTGACCTGTTGTGACCAATCACAGCAGGTCACATGACAGTTGTATACAATGGATGGCTTCATTTATGATGCCATCCATTGTATACTAGTGCCTAGCTGTGAATGGTCACAGCTAATCACATGCACATGTCATGTGATTAGCTGTGACCAAATCACAGCTAAGCACAAAAAAAAAAAAAAAAAAAAAAAAAACCTGAATGAATCGATTTCATTCAGGTAAATGCTTGCTTATAGCAAAGTAATTCTTTGCTATAAGCAAATTGTGTAAAAAAAAAAAAAAAAAAAAAAAAATACTGATCACTTCCCCAAAGTAGTACAATGTTACTATGGTAACATTGTACTACTTTGGTCATAGTAAAATATGAAAAAAAAATCTAAAAAAAAATAAAAAAAATGTAATAAAAAATTAAATATAATAAAAAAAATTAAAAAAAATTAAAAAAAATATATATATTTTTTTTTTTTTCATACTGTCACCAGTCAGTGTCCCTGTTCACCGCCATGCCAGTTATATGATGACGCTGTACTGCACTGGTGACAGTGTGTAAAAAAAAAAATAGTGAAAATAATTTTTTTCAATTTTTTCATTTTCCGAAAAATTATGACAAAAAAATACAACTTCAAAAAACTCGCCATGCCTTTTATGAAGTACGTCGGACTGTCTACTCTGCAAAAAGGGGTCATTTGGGGATATCTGTACTATTCTGACATTCTTGGACCTCAAGAAATTAGATTGGCTGTCAGTACTTCAGGATTGATCAATAATCAGATGTATACCATAGTTTGTGAACTCTATAACTTTCCTACAAACTAAAAAATACATCCTAATTTGGGTTATTTTCACCAAAGACATGTAGCAGAATACATCTCGGCCTAAATTTATGAAGAACAATTATTTATTTGTAAACTTTTATAACAGAAACAAAGAAAAATGTGTTTTTTTTTTCAAAATTGTTGGTCTTTTTTTGTTAATTTAGCAAAAAATAAAAACCCCAGCGGTGATTAAATACCACCAAAAGAAAGCTCTAGTTGTGTGACGAAAACGATAAAATTTTAGTTTGGGTACAATGTTGTATGACCGCGCAATTGTCATTCAAAGTGTGAGAGCGCTGAAACCTGAAAAATGGCCTGGGCAGGAAGGTGTAAAATTGCCCGGTATTGAAATGGTTAAAGAGACTCTGTTACCTTGTCCATGCAAGGCAAAGTGGCAGGGTCTCTGGAAATGGCATCCCCTGGTCCTCTGATATCATTCCTTTGAAGTTCCTTGCTCTTCTAGAGCCAGTGACACTACCAGGCACTTCCAGGTACTGAGAATCATGTAGACTGCTTCCCTTCGATGGTGCCAATCTCTAGGCTTGAGCACTATCTTTTGACCAGGGTCCTGGTAGGTTTATAGTAGCGCTGGACCACTTGAGAATTGGTTTTGCTGTAAATCCAGAAGGGGGGGATACTGCACGGAGGAGGTAATACTGTTATCCTAGTGGAGTTTGTGTAGGCCTGGTTAAGGTCCTAGATTGCTACTTCCCTGATTATCCTAG